TCTTTATCAAGCAGACCTTGATCGCCTCAGTGAATTCATCGCGTCGATAAAAGATGCCACTGGTGTTTGAAGTGCTGCGACTCATTTCACTCTGTCCGATCGTGTGATACCTAGCCATAGAGCGATTCCGAAATTCACTAGTACTTGCCGCTCTGGTGATTCATTCAAAATGGAATGAGGTTGGTGGACAGCAGCTTCAAGAAAGCGGTTCAAATGCTCCCAAAGATAATGCAGCTGTGGACTATCAACAGTGCGATGCAACATCTTTGGATAGAACAAGAATTTGAGTTAGCGTGTATTGCACATGAATGCGAATGGGACACTAAATGGAGTTGAAATTTGGTTCTATAAAAGCGAGGCTATGATGGGTAACATTGAGGCAATCAGAGACTAATTCCTTAGAGGAGACCTAGACAGGTCTACTGCCATAAAATAGCAGAATGGTAATCGAACGCAGAGACGTATGAGTATGAATGTGGACTTGGGCCGGGCTCGGCTTCAGATTGTCCAAGAAAGTGGCTCATCGTATGGTTCTGGCGTGTCGAACGCGGAATAAACAACCAAAGCAGATGTGAAGCAGCAGTCAAATGCCATCTCAGAGGCTAGATAAGCGTCTCACGCCCGCTGAGTGCTAGAAACAGGCGTATTTCATCGCCATATATAGGATTCAGAGCGAGTGTACTTCATTTTTCTTTTTTACTTCTTATTGAAAGGGAAGGAAAGAGGTGGGAGAAAGTAGGTGTTAGAAAGGCACTCGAAGAGGCTTTCAACAGCTTATAGAAGAGAAATCACGCTTAAAAAATCACCCCGCCACCAATTCAGTTATTCGTCTCTCGATACAAAGCGCAAACGGACCATGTGGTTACGTCGATGAAAGACACAGCGAGATTGTGATCACCTCAAATATCTTTTATTCTCCTGATTTTCCAATTCATCTCTGAAGAACTCATACGCGACGAAGGGTAATATTCGCTTTGTCAACGGGGCCTTCAAGGCCCTCAGTACTCTCGCTTGAGTACCCAGCAGGGGCCACAATCTCTGCCGTTGTTCCAACAGGGAGAGTTGCCTGGATGAGTATCACCCCAGCAGTCTCATCGACGCTGACCTCAACCTCAAGCACGCCTTGCAAAAGTTCGGTACGATAGTGAGCAGTCTTAAGACCGGACAACACTGGCGCAAGCTGTACTTTACTCCAACCCGGTTGTAGCGGCTTCACGCCAACCACATACTGCGGCAGGAGAAACACTGGCCAACAGGACCAAGCATGCATAAGTGAGGTGTCATGTCCGAAGGGCTTCCCCTCAACTGTCATCGCTTCCCAATGTCCTCCCGAGTAATTTGGACTTGACGTGTCCGCCATTGGACCCCACACATTTTCAATCAGTTGGATTGCTTCACGACCCTTTTGGCGTGAAAATAGTGCCTCTACGGCAAATCCTGTTGCGTAGGGACTCACAACTCCTGTACGGTCCCAATGTTGAAGACCCTTGAAAGCTGCAGGCAACCATCCTGGAGGTCCGGAGAGGTGAGATGCACAAAGATCGCTGTCTTCAGCAACATCAAGTGCAACGGCATAGCCATTCGTGTCCTGACAGATTCCTTCCTCTGGCAACGCGGACCCCATACGGATGCAACCCTTTTCAGAGTTCCATAGATTGGTCAGAATGCTCTTTCTCAGAGTCTCGAGCTTCTCAGATAATTGGGACTTTCGTTGATCGTCGGTGGTCATAGTCTTCACAGCGTTCAGGGCGTCGTAATATGCCAAATTCGTTGTACCAGAAGCTCCAAAAACAGGTCCTCCAAGCGGATACCAATGCACTACGGAGGATTAGCCAATACACCATGCAGCCGAGAGACAGATTCTTATCTTACTTGACATGTCAGGTGAAACTTCGATCAGTCCCGATGGCTTCTCCTGGGATTCGGCGTACTCGAGCAACTTCTCCGCTGCCGGAAGATAACGCCGAAGAGCTTCATGGTCTCCAGAACTCAACCAATAGTCCTTGATGGCGACAACCAACAACAGGGCGTAAGTCATAGAGTAGAATGCGTAAGTTGGAGGAGGCTCGGTCCCTGCGTGGATAGGGGCCTGGATAGGACATAAATTTCCAAGGTATCCTGCCTCAGTCTGATGGCTAGCAAGAAGCTCGATGCTTCCTGCAACAGCCCCACTATCCATACCGGAATATGCAACGCCTCGACCTGAAACAAAGAGATCTCCTCCAAATGTTGCTCGATCTCTCTTTGCACCATCTACCATGCATGATACAGCATTCGTCCCAACTTGGAAGTCTGCCAGCGTCCTCTCCTTGTTGCCGAATAACAAGTCATTCTGGTAGAGACAATCCCCGTTCGCGTCTCTGACATCCAAGTTGCGATAGAGAGCAAGCCAACCCTCAGGACCTCCGAAAGCTACAGAGCCAGTGTTGATTCCCGAACCTCCAAGAAGGGGTCGGATCTGTACGTCTGTGATTGTTGCAACTTCTCTCTCGTTGATGATGACGGTGATCCGGTTGCCGCTCGTAATGGTAAGAACCTTGATCCATTCGCCTTGCTTCACAATTCCGTGAGTAGACCAGCTGCCAAAGGACTTGACTGGGAATACGGCTGATACATGTGACATCCCCTCAAAGGCACGAAGCTCTTCCTGGATAACGTCCAGGCAGAAGATGACTCCATTGGCAACCATGTGGACACCCCAACTCGCACCTAGCTCTTCAACAAGAACCTGGAACGAAACTTCCTTGTCGCCCCATCGCGTGCCTTGGCGGCAAGGAGCCCAATGCTGACCAAGAACCCTGGTCCCTTGGTCGGTGATGTCCCATGCTGGGGCCGTCTCGCCTTTGACCACAGTGCACATTTCTAGCGTGTTGACACCGTCATTCCAAATGCGGTTGAGAATCTCGTCTGAACAACTGAAAGAAGCCTTGGGTCGTATTGTTGGCCTGATTGACTCGAAACCGAATTTGCTGATTACAAGAGTGGCATTGGAAGTGATGAGAACAACTTTCAAGTACCTCTGGGATCGTTGTGCGAGTCTTGGTTTGATAGTTTGCTGCGATTCCGAGGGCGCTACAGTCATTGAAACATTGCGATAACAGTCCATAGCATTGGAAAAGAAAAAGTAGGGGCCATCGCCTCGAAATTGTGTTAGTTGAGACACAATAACGGTTAAAGGAGAATATCTCTACCTGTTTCGCATTCGATTCCTTCATGAGTTTCGCTATAAAAGATTCTCGCGCTGATGGGACCCTCGCCACTCGCACGATCAACCAAGAATGTAGGAATTCCGCCAATGCACCGGCCAAAGTCAAAAGTTATTGATGCCTGTTTCGAAGATCCTGATAGTTCGCCATTTGTAAGAGTAACGACCCCTGACTCAGCGTCGCGCCAAGCACCATTCGAGGTTGTAACTAGCCGGGTTGGCTCCGACAGGATGGCCTTTGAGGGATCCATTTGAATTGCAAGAGAAGCAAGATATGATGAATAAGAATTGCTGGATTGGCATGAGATTCGGCCTTGAAGCCAAGTGACGTGCAGTTACCCAGGTTTTGAATGGCATGCCTAGTAAGTGTGGATAGGCATCTAAGTAAGACCCGTTTCGGGAAATCCGAGCGTGTCTAACACTAGGCTTGTTTCGGATCAGCGTCCACCCGGATGTGTGGGGGAAAGGTGGACGAAGCTCATAAAAGGGGCGCTACGTCCACCTCAACGCCAATTTGCTTCACGTCTCCGTCCACCCGCGGAATCACTCACACATCTCGGCAACTCCACAGAGACTTGGGGCGCAGGAGCTTCCCCAGATTGCCCAATAGAGTCGATGGGTTCACCAAACGAGGTTGAACAGACTAGCCACACTTGTGGGGTCTGTTCTCGATCTTTCACTCGCATAGAGAACTTGAAACGTCATCAAAAGACGCGTAGGTCATTCATGAACGAGCACGAAGGAGCTGGTGACGCTTGAGTCCTGACTGTTGTAATGCATAGACCAGGGAAACCTACCTCACCGTTGTATGATTTGCCAGAAAAGGTTCTCACGGAGCGATCTTCTCAAGAAACACCAACGACTTCATCAGAAGCTTAGCCAAGAGGATGCAGTACGTGACGAGAATGAATTATCATCAGCGAAAAAGGTGGATTACTCCTTCATCATAGAGAACCCCAGCCAAATTTCGTCCCAACCGCGAGATAGATACAGAGAATCGGGAACACACCCGCTACTTGTTGGCGACTCACGACTGCAGTATCTTGATGTTGACCGCGCCACGAACAAGACGCCCAAGGCTAGTTATGCAGCGTCTTCGGTTCTTTCACCATCATACGTCGCGTTCTCTAGGCCACAAGATACAATGGCAACAACCAGTGAGCTAGCGGCGAACATGGACTTCTCGTATTTTGTTCAACCTTGGCAGGATAGCCTGTGGGTTGACTCAAGCCAGTGGTTCACACCAGATTTCTACGATGCAGTAAGAGAGACATCACATATAAGTGATCCTTTCATACTCCAAGACGATTCGATGTCACTGTCTGCTCACTGGAATTGGCTGGGTCAATATCCAGCCATGCCTGGCAGTAGTACACGAGTGGCCCCAAACGACGACCGAACAGCACCTTTAGTTCTAGCCGAAATCTCGGATGGGCCAGAGAGTATATCGAGAGTTAATTCTCCTCCGAACGTGCCCTCTAGAGAGGACGGAGTAGCATTTGCGTGGAACCCGTCGTCGAAAAGTCTTTGTCAGACACATTCTATTTCTATCAACGCGTCACACCCTCTTATGATTTTACATAATCCTCGATTCGACATACTAGAATCAACATGGATTCGCGTTCGAGAGTTCCTAAAGCTTGAGACTCCCGGCTCGGAGAATCTGATTCCGCCGTCTCTGGCAGTTGCGAATGTCTTTCTGGGGCTCTTTTTCGACCGTTTCTATGAACAAAGTCCTGTACTTCACTTACCAACGCTCTTAGTTGATCACTTGCCGTCATCTTTACTCTCCGCCATGATCATCATCGGCGCCACATACAGCCGTATCCGGCACACAAGACGCTTTTCCATACTCATGCTCGATAGAGCTCGTCAAAATCTCCAAGCGCTGATCGAAGCCGACAAAAGCTTGACCAGACATCCTGAAACTATCTATGCATCTTCACTACTAGTGTATACTGGGTTATGGTGCGGAAACAAAGGGGCATTTGAGACTGCCGAAGCATTCAGAGGAAGTTTGGTGACATACGTCAGACGTCTGTTTCAACCGAAAACGAAAGTTGCGGATGTCGCAGGTAGTCGTGTTGAAGATCATTGGAGGGCATGGGCAACATCTGAGTTCAAGCGCCGTTTACGCTGGTACGTATTCATGATTGACTCACAGTTCCCCGCCATTTTGAACATGCGGAGTATGATGTCTCTCGCAGAGGTCGCTAGGTGGGAGTGCCCGGGTGATGACGCCGCATGGTGTACAACGAGTGCTCCAATCTGGGCAACTCTAGTTAAACCCTTGGGGAGTTTATCGGCACCAGAGTTTGGCATTGTTTTTAAGGCTCTTACGAACAACAGAAGAGCTAATTCCACCAACTTGGCACCATCAGTCTCTGCTATTACTGATAGCATCAGCCCGTGGACACAATTCCTTGTTCTGAGTTGCTTGGCTAGCCAGGCACTGGACTGGTCGCACGATTGGTCAGTACAGGTCGGCAGTGACCCTGCCATGATACAAGATACGGGCAGTGATTGTCATCAAGAAAGTCTGCGGATACGGGACAACATCATCGGTAAGTCATACTGTCTTCCACTTGTCTATGCCAAAGCTGACGCGTTCATTTCAGCATCTTTGAAATCATGGGAATGCTACTACGGCACCAAGTACAGTGGCAACCCGATCCCGGATGTGGCGCAAAGTCCAGTGCTGTACTTTCAGAACGCATCTCAAATACTCCGTGGCCTAGTAAACATTCAACTACAAACGTGCGTTGCTGATTTGCAAGATGCTCTCGGAAAAAGCGGAGCAAATGCTGTTGACGAAAGCCTGGGCCGACTTCGAGTCTACTTCACAAACGGATACACCAACTGTGTTGGAGCACACCAAGAGTTGCCATTTGAGTCTCTAGATGCCTTCGCCAAATCAGTCATGGAAACTACATCAATAATGAGCAACCCGACACTACAGTCTGCCACACCTTATAGCATCTTTGGAATCTTCCTAAATCATGTCTTGCAATGGGCATTTCTAAAAAGCAGCCCCGAAACATTGAAGTCGCACCTTCGTGAGCATCTCCGAGATATGGCTTTCTCATATCACGGACGGGGCATGTCGGAGCTCAGTGGAATACTTGATTTCGGGCTCTCCTCAGCAAACCCGACAGTCGTGAACAGGGACAGAAGCCACTTAGTTCTCATGCAAGCTGCGCAGAATTTGGCGCTGCTTGGTACTTGGGGCGCATCGTTGAATCTGGCCCTTCTGCTTCAGTTGAGAGCGAAAACTTAAATTTGACGCTGTTGATATTAAGAATTAAGTCTCGTAAATTATTGTGTAAAAGTACAGCTCATGCCTCCAGCAGCATCATTAGTAGTAGAAGTAGAGGTAATAGGCGATTCGTTCAGCACTGGGAAAGTGTGCAACGAATATGAGGTCCTGTCATGGTTGACTTGTTCATGGCAAAGTAATACGAGCAAAGGATCCGAAGCTACGATACCATACTAAGTTAGTCTAGAAAATCAGCCTAACTGGGTATTGCTAAGGTTATGCATGCCTCCCATCAGCAGGCCTTAGCAGCATCTGGGGTAGGTAGATCCACTTCCTGTTGAACGTAGCACTAGCTTATCCGCGTCCAGTTGCTTTCGAAGTTCTGATCAGTCATCAGTACTTTCCCTGTTGGGAATTTCGCAAGAACCTCCCATACTTTCACCATCATGTCTGGCAATTTTCCTCCGTACGTTGCGGTAGGGGTAAGTTCTTCATGGGGTCCTCAATCCACCAAGACATGTACGTGTCTAGTGATGGCCAACTGAGGCCGAAGCCAGACGATGGGAAAGAGGGGAGGCAAAAGGTACATTTCCACGGAACTGTCGGCCTGAATGCCAATAAGTTGAGAAAGATTCAGTGGGTAATTGTAAGTCAGAGTCAGTGTGTGGAAATGTCAGATAATCGGGCTGATGCGACTCACATTCCTTCCTGGAAAGTGTTACTTTTCCGTCCGTTGAGCCTCGCCATGTTGTCCTACCGGTGGAGCCGGAAAAGCTGGCCAGGTTCATAAACGAAGATCCACATGGGTTCGGAGTATTTGGAGAAGTGGTTTTCCGTCGCATCCTCTTCATGTAAGACCCTGTCAACATGCGTCCAGGTCACTACCATGTCGGTACTAGTGCAGGGTCCGAATTGAAGACCATCATCTCCCCGAACCCCGCACGAGCGGAAAAGCTCGGCGCCCCATCTCCCCCATGGGGGAACGCTCCACCTGGGGGAGTCGGTCTTATCGTGACTTCAGGCGGAGCCAACGGAGAGATGAGATAGTCTGATTTTCCTTGTTACCTTATATAGAGAGGCTCTGCACAGACGAAAAGATGCTTGGAAGTGTTACCGTCTAATACCGAAGTCTCGCAGTTCGAAAGCCACGTCATCCCACGATCTGACCGGTGTCGAGACAACGCACAAAAGGTTCAAATGCCAGCGTCTTTCCGAGTCATCAAAGCACAATGACTGAGCCAAGAAAGTCCGAAGAGGACAAGGCAGATGTCAGACAAATGGAGCGTGTCTTGACAAGCGGTTCTAATGGAGGCGCCGAGAAGCCTGTCGCCAAGATTGGCAAGGTTGACGAGTTTGGGGCGCATACCAAGACCGACCCCAAGGAGATTGCACTCGTGAAGAAGATTGACTTCTACATTCTGGTACGAGCTTCAGTTGATGGTTGGGAAAATGCTTCCTTTACTAACTCGACCGAAGCCTATTCTCTGGATCATGTACTTCCTCAATTTCCTCGACCGAAACGCAATGATCAATGGCAAGCTTAACTCGCTGTCCGAAGACCTGAAGCTGAAGGGAACTGAGTACAACACTTGCGTATCCATTCTATTTGTTGGGTGAGTTATGTATCTTTGTGTACCTAATGGCCACTAATCTCAATGTCGGTAGATACCTGTGTGGCCAGATCCCCTCGAACATGATCCTGAACCGAGTGCGACCCTCCTGGTACATGGCGGGTATGTATGCCAAGCATCCAATCAAGAACGCGTAGTTCTAATGGGTGGTCACATCGCAGGCTTCATGTTGACTTGGTCTATAATAAGTCTGCTTACGTACCTTGCACACGACTACAAGACAATGCTAGTGTGCCGGTTCTTTCTCGGTATCACAGAGGCTCCGGTAAGTATCTGATCGTTGTTGTCGCCGACATCGAAGACATGAACGGGCTGACATTAGTCTAGTTCTACCCTGGCGCACTCTATATGCTCAGCATGTTCTACACACGCAAGGAAATTGCGACTCGAATGGCTGTCTTTTACACTGGCAACATGCTAGCTAGCGCTTTTTCTGGTCTGATTGCGGCTGGCATATTCGCCGGACTCGATGGGAAGCACGGCCTTGCAGGCTGGCAATGGTATGATAGAATCCGGCTCACCCCACTCAGATTGGAGACTCACAGTTGTAGGCTATTCATCGTCCAGGGTGCTGTGTCCATTGGTGTGGCGATGGCGGCATTCTACTTCCTCCCCGACGCTCCGCTTCAGACTCGCTGGCTCAGCCCTGAGCAACGACATATGGCACACCAGCGCATATTCGACGATACGACCGATCGTCGCGAGGGAGGCACCAGTGTCTGGAAAGGATTGCGCGAGGCTTGTACCGATTGGAGAACATGGCTCTTCTGTCTCATGGACAACTTGCACCTTTCCGCAAATGGTTTCAAGAACTTCTTGCCGGTAAGGATTCGCAGTCATAGCTGATCTTTCAGATTACAATAAGCTGACTGGAGACAGAGCGTTGTCAAAACCCTTCACTACAACACCACAATCACATTAGTTCTAACGTGCCCGCCGTACATTCTAGCTGGCATCATGAGCATTGTTGTATCGCATTCATCAGGCCGTTTTAATGAACGCACATGGCACACAACAGTGAGCAAGCTCATTGCTTGTGCGGGCTTCGCCATGGCTGTGGCCACACTCAATACCACTGTTAGATATGTCGGTATCATGATTTTCGTTGGAGCAACGTATGGGGTTAGTTCATCCAAATGCCGATTTTGATTCCACAAAATTTACTTCATCCTAACGGAATTTTAGGTGAATAATATCATTCTCGGATGGACCTCGGCAACTTTAGGCCAGACGGATGAGAAGAAGGCCGTTGCGATTGCCATGGCCAACACATTTGGGAACCTTGCTAGCGTCTACACTCCATACCTGTGGCCAGAATCAGATGAGCCACGATACTTGACTGCAATGCTTGCTAGTATCGGCTTCTCTCTCGGTGTCGTTGTTTGCGCCTGGATCATGAGGATTGCGCTACAGAGGCAGAACAAGAAAACTTTGGCGTCTAACCCAGATGCCTTGAACTTGTATGTCTACTAAAGCTGGTCATACCCACAGATAGTATGGGGTTGTTTATTTGTTACGGACTATATATTCGTTGGATCCATCCATACTCTGGAATCAGACCAACTACAGGTCTCGAGAGGACTTTCCAGTAGAATACAATGTGAGCAGATGTCAACAGGTGCACGACACAGGGAAGGAGCTCACAGAGGTCAACTGATCTTAGGGTCTAGAAGATGTATTACTGAAATCTGCCCTTCCCTCGAAATATACTCTCAGCGCTCTACATATACCTGAGCTGCTCCTTTGTTGCTTGATCCTCCTCTTAATGCCCCTTATGCTATCCCCTATCCGGCGAGGCCTGACAGCAGACAAGACCCACAGGGCTTTGATAGTCCTACAAAGCAGACTGAATAGTAGTTGAAAGACCCATTTTATGATTACTGGGCCTGCTCGTCCAAAACCATTTGAAACGCTTCTACAAACGAAGCTTCCCAATCGGCCTCTGTCTTCATGGGCCTCCAACCGAGCTCTGGTGCCAAAACGGGCTTCGTAGAAGAGCTGAAGACATTAATCCCTGCTTGTACTCGCTTAAATCTTTGGTTGGCACACTTGGAATGACTCACTGTGCAGCATAATTCATCTCCGCAATCTGGGGTGTCGCATTCAGCCATCTTGATCCAGCTTCTTCCAAGCTCACCGAACGAGGCTCTCTTGACTCCAAAGCACCAAGCGAGGCACCTGCTTTACCAACCAAGGCCGCAAGATCTCGCCAATTGTGACTGCCAGTGTTAGAGAAGTAAATACCTCTCCTGCCTGAAGGAATCGTCTCTCCAGAGAGGACCTTGCTCAAGATAAGCTCGTACAGTATTGCAAGATCCGTAACATGGACATGCCCAAGACGGGCTGTGCCCTCGCCGACGTATTCAGGGACGCCGGCCTTGATCGCGCCACGAATGATGCTAGGAATTTGCATGGATCCTTGATTGAAGAGGCCGGTGCCACGCCCGTAGACTGTGGGGGGCATCATGATGTATGCTTTGACTCCGGTCTTCTCTGCAGTCCTAACAACAGCAATATCCGTTGTTCGCTGGCCGTAAGCCTCCTGGGATTCTTTCTTTTCTTCATATTCGTATACCTTCTCCTTATCTGACCATTGATGAATGTCACCCGACCGCTGGGTGATCGTTCTTTCAGCAAGGTTGGACGTTCCCGATGTCTGGCTCATCCATGTTTTGTTAAAGATATTACGATAAGAGTCAGAATAGCGCGAAAACTTACGTGAACGAAGTGGACATCTCTTCCCGTCTGCTTCTTCCGCTCCGCTAGCCCTTTCAAAAGAGCTACAGCCGAGCCTGTATGGAAGCCAGTCGGTGTGTGGATAACGTAGTCGTGCTCACTTGCAATCTTCGTCAAAAATTGAGAGTCATCTAGGCCCGTAAAGAGGACGGCATGGATGCCTTTCTGGCTCAGAATATCCGCTTGTTCTTGCCCCCGAACTAAAGCGGTAATCGACAGTGCATTGATGTCTTTGTTAGAAGAGTTTAGGAGCTGTGTCAGAACAGTGCCACCTCTACGAAGCAGTCAGTTTGACAGGGCAAGTTCGAGTCGGAAAAGGGCACGGAGCGCACATAAAGCCTGTGGCGCCCGTGAAAAGAAGTTTCTCGGGCATAATGAATAATTTTGATGCTGTCTTGGTAGAAAATGAGAAAAGACATACACAGAATTATGGAATTTGGCGCAATGTTAAGTCCAGGCTGTGAAGGTATTCTGTAAACCTGACGCGTTACTTTAATGTCGTGGAAATGCCGGGATTTGTATTCCGCGGAAAGCCGGGACCATCCGTGGCCAATGGTGACAGATCTGTGCCTGTCTTGTAATAGTCAGCATCAGTCGACCTACTGGGTACGACTGCAGGTTGACCGCACACCAGAAGTACACCTCCAGTCATTG